AGCGCAGATAGCCCTCGTGTAGCCTTGCGCGAAATTAAAAAAAAAATACATAATTGCTCCCTGGTGGCTAAGCGATAAGTCTGAGGGCTTTTCACTCTAAAAGTCGTGTTTCGATATTCGCGGTAGACAGAGCCCAGAGATCCCATTATGTATATTTGTGTTTTACAATAAAGAAACAAACTTATCATATAATCAGTTAGTTAGTTTACTCTTCACTAAAATTTCCAGGATCGAAAAATGAAATTAATACATTACTTTTAAAGGCGAAATTTCGTAAAAAAATTATGATAAATAAAAAAATTTTTGTTGTTGTTAAGCCCGATATAAAATTAGCTATCGGTGTTCTGCCCACTCTGGTATCGAAACCCGAATTTTAGCGTTATAACCCCACCTCTCCGACTTGCTGCTGAACCACCGGGGCGTGGAGGAATAAGTACAGAGAGAAAAGTTTTATTATACTTGACAAAACATATATAATTAACTTATCACTAAAGGGTTTTAATATTGCACAGTTTCTATTAGCGTATTAACACATCGAAATGAGGCAACACTTTAAGAAAAGTGACTCGTCCTAATGTATCTATTTGTACTATCCTTTCGTTAAACATAAGTAGCACAAGATGAATATTTCGGACATGGAAAGCTTTATATCTTTCGCTTTAAGATATCTGTATAGTTAGATACTTTCTGCTTGTCAAATATATTACAAGACTCCACCATGTTTTCGTGTCAGGAACTAAAAAAAGAAAATCAATAGGAATAACTTCAAGCTTCCGGTTCTGCTCTGATGGACTGAGCTTAACAACGACGTCGTTATAATAGGTCAATAAGACCCCACATTTCGACTTAGAACACCCAGGATTTATTATTCTGATATTCAACGACGACGACGTTATAATAGGTCAATAAGACCCCACATTTTGACTCAGAACACCCAGGATTTATTCTTCTGATATTCAACGACGACGTCGTTATAATAGGTCAATAAGACCCCACATTTTGACTTAGAACACCCAGGATTTATTCTTCTGATATTCGATGTATTTTAAAATAGTGTGAAGCTAGAGGTTTATGATTAGAGTTGTGATTTTCTCATTTATCCTGTGTTTTGGTTGTACGAACTTAAGAATCAATCTTAGCACTTAGCAGTAGAATAGTCGTAGTTAAAAAAAAAACAGTTCTTTCAACTCGGGATTTTAAGGGATTGAAGAAGTAAAGGCTACTAATTCAAATGGTTTGTGAATTGAATATTATGTTACAAAGGGCTCTTTACATATAATTGTCATTTAAACCACGTCAACTGTAGCTAGCTCACTTTAGTTTGCTAGTATAGCGAATAACTGAATTTGTTATTTCTAAACCGAAACAAAAACCTTCCTTTGAGGAATGGCTCCATTAATTTGTTGTTTACAGAACCATCGTTACTCATCTATTAGTGTATATTATAGGAAGTTAGAAATTGTTTCTCATCCGTTGGGATTTATTTTCGTTACAGTATGGCCGATCCGATAGCTATCGGGTGGCCGTCACTCCAAATGTGGCCGATGGCAACGCCCCCGCAGCGGTAAAGACAAATCCAGCGGGACGCAAGACCAAAAAGAAAGGTGGAGCTGACCTAGATGACCTCAAGAAAGAGGTGTCCATGGTGAGTATTTCTGCGCATGGAAAGCTGTGATAACCAAAACCAAAACTTGCAAAGTAACGTTTTTCTTCTTTATTTCTACTGATCCTTTTTGCTTGAAATACAATAAACAGCATTAGATATGGTCTTTAAATTTTTGAACATTAAAAAAAATAATAACTAATAATTTCTTTTTTTAATACCCCTTCCTGCTATTAGCTTAATCCGTCTTACTATACAACTGAGTAGTAGAACTTTAAACTTTATTTTTTAAACCAGTCACGAGATGTGCTGCTTAGCTAATGAATAGGCTGTTATTAGCACCCCTTGTGGCGGTTTCTGTAACTTCGAACTATATGTAGTACTGATTTAGAGTTAGAGCAGATCGCTCGAAAGATAATTAATCATTCAACAGCTTTAGAGATACTTACGTTTTGGATTTAGAACCAACGTTTTATTTTTCTTTTGTTAATAACTGACTTTAAGTAACTTTCGTGCTGTTTTAACATTAAATCGAAATCACTAATGGATCACAGGAACTCTGTAATACGGGAATTAATTAGACTACGAAAAATAAACAGAAAAAAAAAATATAATTTCTCTCTACATTTAGCACTAACTGCCTGACTCCAAATTAACGTTTTGGTTCATTGCATCAGATAATATCGTCTTTTCTAATCATCTCTTCTAACAAATATATAAACTGTTAAGGTAAATTTTACAGGAAGCCTAACACTTGTAGGAGATCTTTGAATGCAAGTTTTACAGAGAAAAATTATCTTAAAACTATTCCTGAGATACATTAGAATTCATTTCAACGTTACTAGAATTGTTGAACACCTTATACTCATCAGTCAAGAAATTTACTCGTATTGACATGCGTTACACACTTTTTACATGATGCTTTGTAGTAAAATGACGTCGCAAAGTATGTTGTTTATAACACTGTGTATGGATATATATATATATATATAGTTAAATGTGATTGGTTATCTATGAGCGCAACGCGCTGTTTTGAACGTTCAAGTTGGACAAAGGGCATTAAAACAGAAATAGGCATAGAGTTGTTAGGAAAAGAAACTAACTAAAGAAAATAACTGAAATATTTTAGTGCATGTAGAAAAAAAATCCTTATCCAGTTTAAGGATAAAAAATATTTTATTTTTGAGTCTTAACAAAATGTGCAACATGAATGAGCTAACTGATCGTGGATGTTATCGGAATGAGAAATAACTTTACAACATCCTTTTTTTTTTCCATTCACTAGATCAACAAAGTCTTATACCTCCGAGTTATTGTTTTCTTAGTGCAAAGCCAGACAGTGATCTATCTCGTCCGCTTTTAATTAGCGCTTGTGGCGCCGTCTAATATCAAACTCACTAACTTTAGCGTGATTATCAATATGTTAATAGATACAGAAATTTTGCTGCCAGCAGTATAACTAAAATATTTGTTAAGTCCACTACAAACATTAGGTTAGCTTCACAAATGTGTTACTTGAAAAATAACAACCAAGAAACTACCGATGCTGAATGGCTTACTCAATACAGCAGTCAGTCAACTACCCCGGGCAACAGTAGTACACTTCCTCTACCTTGTTTGTGAGGTTACTGAAAATGTTCCACAGTGGAATATCAACAAAAAAATGCTTGAAACTAAGTTATTTATATTGTCATATTCAGTAACCAATATGATGAATATTTAAAAGCCTCAGAAGAAGAGACCACTGTGGTAAAGTAAGACATCCATTTGAAAAACCATACTAACTTATACATTTGCTAAGGAGTGTGTTGAAGTACCAATTGCGTATTATTTAAGTGTTTTTTTTCTTCTGTGTAGGATGAACACAAAATACCAATCGATGAGCTCTATTCAAGGTTACGCACAAATCCTGAAAGGGTAAGAACAAAATATTTTTTTTTCCAAACATGATAATTCGTAGAGTGCATGTCTTAATACATTATATACACCGGTACAGAAAGTTGTCCGGTGTGAACTGTACAAAGTTGTGTAGTATGAATTGTAAATAAAGTTGTCTGGTGTGAACTGCACAAAGTTGTGTAGTATGAATTATAAATAAAGTTGTCTGGTGTGAACTGCACAAAGTTGTGTAGTATGAATTGTAAATAAAGTTGTCCGGTGTGAACTGTACAAAGTTGTGTAGTATGAAATGTAAATAAAGTTGTCTGGTGTGAACTGCACAAAGTTCTGTAGTATGAATTGTAAATAAAGTTGTCCGGTGTGAACTGTACAAAGCTGTGTAGTATGAAATGTAAATAAAGTTGTCTGGTGTGAACTCCACAAAGCTGTGTAGTATGAATTGTAGATAAAGTTGTCCGGTGTGAATTGGCACAAAGTTGTGTAGTATGAATTGTAAATAAAGTTGTCCTGTGTGAACTATACAAAGTTGTCTGGTATGAACTGTAAAAAAAAAAATTGAACTGTACAGAAATATATCTTGTGTAATTCGATGACGAGGAACCCACTTTGAGACTAATAATGGTTGGAGACGGCTTGAATGGGTAATGAAGAAA